TTTAGATAAAGAATCTAGTGGGCAGCTGTAATTTCTTTAGGAAAAAATCTAGTCGGCCGCTGTCACTTTTTAGGATGTTTCTAATATTGTTTTATTTGACATTACCCTACTGCAATACGTTATTATCTAGATTATTATTATTATCATTATTATCACTAGATTCTTAATCTAAAAATATTTTTAGTCCTAACATGTAATGTTTACATTTTATTTTTTAATTTCAAATCGGTGAGTTTTATAAAAAAAATACAAGAGATAAAAAGGTTTCTAAATAAACTAAACTATCAAAATTAATTTTTTTTGCATATGTTTGATAAGATTTTTCTTTAAATTTCATTATCAAGAATGATAGGGGTAGTTTATTTCAATCCCTTCCACTCATTTTAAAAAAGTGAAAAAATGACCTGAAAGTGTGTTTTCATGACAGTAATGCTTCCATAAAATTTCATTAGTCTATCTCTTTTCGTTTTCAAAATAAAAAATAAGAACATTATTTTTCCGCCATCTTTGTACCGCGATATCTCCCTAATGGTTGACTTTTGACCCAACGTTTATGAAGCAAACTACCCTTTATTTTGAACAAGGAATCACCCCCTGAAGTTTTTCGCATTTGTTTTGAAACACCCTGTATATCGCAGAGCTGGTAGCGTGGTTTATAAAAAAAACTATTAGGCAGAAACCTGTCGTTGGAAGTGAAGAAAATGAATTTGCCGTAATTGGCTCTTTTATAGAAAATCCATATATCTACAAGTTCTTCGTTTTTCTTGATAGAATAATAAATACATATTTAATAAATATTATTTATTAAACTATTGTAAGTAAATTAAATAAAAGTAAACTGCTAGAAATTTAAATAAAGTCCATAAATTAATTTAGATTTTGAGAAAATAGGTACTAACTGTCAATAGAAACTTGCCATGACGACACCAGCCCGCTTGGTTGCCATTTTATTGAAAAATTGCTCTTTATTCAAAATCTGAGCTAGAGAGGTATAGGACACCCTAATATAGTTTGAAAGAGCATTTGAATCTGCTTCGATTTATTTTAAAAATTACAGGGTGTTTTATATGAAATAACGAAGTTTTTATGTAAAATAAATATTTAAAATAGACCAGCAATTTTTGATACCCCTGTATACATTAAACGAAGCAATCAAAATTTTCAGTAAAGTTTATTTCTCTGGCTTAAAAATCAGCACAAGAATTAGTTCTGAAAAGCAATGTACAGGGTGTTGACAATCATTTTTATCATAGCATGCATATTTAAATATCTTTAAATATCTCAAAAACCAAAGCTTGTAAACATATTTAAGCCTTATAATAAAAACTTCATTTTGTGTCCAAGGATCCAAAAATGAAATAAAATACTGGGTGTTCCATAAGAAAAAATATAACTTTGGTGTGGAACTTAGTTCTGACATACCCTGTACTCCTGTACATTTCAAAATAATTTTAAATTATGCACATTGCCTTCCCACATATACTCAATAAATATTTTGTTTCTAGATCTTTCCGTTTTCGTATAATCAACCGAGGCGAATGAGGTGTGCCACCATGTATTTCCAAAAAATAATTTTTTCTCGAATTTTAAACTACACCATTTAAAAACCATTTTTACTCAATATAAAAATAAATTACAACCTTCTTATGGTGAGCTGACTAGTAAGCGCCATTAAAAAATAAAGAAGAATACAGGCCGGGAAATGACGTCTAGCACTTGACCTCGCCAAAATTATCATCGATTGTCATTCCCCAGCTGTCCTTAACGCCGTTTTTTTTCCGTTCTTATGGTAGTTTATTATATTATGTTATGGTAGTTTTACTTATAGTTTATAACTGCTCCCAACGCTCTCAGCATAGAATCAATCTCCGTGTATAAATTCATGCTCTGAGCTAATTTTTCTCGTTTAAAATATGAACACAGTATTATAAGAAAGGTGATTGGTTGTTGGTACATTTTGAAGAATAAAGATATCTTTTCCCTGTTTGTATCTGAGAAAATAAATAAAATAGTTAGGGTCAAATTATAATTAAAGTATCTAATATACGGAGCGATCAATAATGATCGAAATAGTTGGCAACACTGTGTTAAGAGGATTTTAGGATTAGTGATTACAAATTTGTCATTAAATTACATTCCTAATTTAACTAACAAAATATCAAATAATCTCAATAAAATAGGATGCAAAATCAAATTTGTCATGTCAAAAAACCCCAGATACCAATTTTCATCCAAAGATCCAAATATTGACGTTATTTCAGATATTATTTGGAAAAAATCGAAATAAAAATGATACTTCTACACCCTGTATCTCCGAAACTAAGCATTATAGGACATAAAGTCTGTCCAACGAGAAGATCCTTGACAGTGATAGATGTGTCTGTCATTTTAATTTCAAAGTAGTTTATTTTATTTTACAAAGAAATAAGTTGGTACAACTGGAACGCATAGCAGGATATATTTAAAATTTGATTGACAAGATGACAAGTGATTACTTCAAAATATTGTGAAAAAAACTGCTATTTTGTAGCTTCACACTAGTAAGCAAATTTGAAACACTACCTATGTTGTTCTGTTGTGTGTCCAAGAACTGTGGATTTTTCGCACGCTTATTAGTTGCACACAGCTCCATCTTAACCCCTACTACTTTCGATAGATAAATGATACATGAATATATTTTACCATTTGGACTGGATAAACGGCGATTAAATTAACTAATATTTAGCTTTAAATCCTAAAAAGGCCAAGGACCAGTGGGCCGGATAACCAGTGCACTGACCCTACGGAGCGATCAATAATGATCGAAATAGTTGGCAACACTGTGTTAAGAGGATTTTAGGATTAGTGATTACAAATTTGTCATTAAAGTTTTCTATTGCAATTATCGACTTTTAAATTACATTCCTAATTTAACTAACAAAATATCAAATAATCTCAATAAAATAGGATGCAAAATCAAATTTCTCATGTCAAAAAACCCCAGATACCAATTTTCATCCAAAGATCCAAATATTGACGTTATTTCAGATATTATTTGGAAAAAATCGAAATAAAAATGATACTTCTACACCCTGTATCTCCGAAACTAAGCATTATAGGACATACATTTATACGAACTTTTTTACTTATTTTTATCTGCAGAATATGCTGCCAAAGTTTCCGGAATACAGTTCGGACCCCCTGTATATCCTTAAAATTACGAAAAAGACGTAACACACCGATACATATGTAGAGTTAAAGTTACTGTTATTAAATTTTGATACATCTAAAAGCGGGTTTTATTGAAATACTAATATCTCAATCATTGCTGATCGATCCGTACTTTTACCTGAATATACAGGGTAAGTTTTTAAGGGTTAGGTACTTATTTCTCTCGAAATCTCTAGATTTCTGATAATGTCTGAATGTTTTGAATCTTACCAGTTTTTGATTGTTTCATGATGATTACAGAAACTGTTACCAGTATACTTGTCAGTGTCATAAAACAAAAAAGGTAAAACCATTTTAATGGTTGTTTATGATACTTTTTCAGTTTGTTGTCGAACTGGATTGGAAATATACAAAATATTTTGAAGTATCTGAAATGGTTTAATAAATTGTAGACAAACATTTTTAGTGTGTGTCAAGCAGTCTCTAACGAATATGTGTATTTTGGTATCTCTAGTAATATTACTTAAGGATATTAAATATTAATATTAATACTGGTATTATTATATCAAAAATCCATTCTTTAGATTAGCTCATCTAAATAAATTCTTGTAATAATGGTTGGTTGATTAAATTAGGATATTTTTAAAGGTTTTTGATAAGTATACCGGGTGTTTTTCAAAAGTGGCTCTCCCCTATAACTTTTAATTTTTCAGATAAAAAAATCGAAATTTAATATGTTAGAATATGACATAAATCAGGATTGATTAACGTATTCAATAAAAAAAGATTTTTAAATTTCAATTTAAATTTCAGTATACTGAGTGCGTCTCAAAAATGGCTCATCCCTATAACTATAACTTTTTATTTTTTCAGACAAAAAAAAACGAGATTTCGTATGTTAGTATATGTATGACAAAATTACAATTGATTGACGTATTCAGTTGTTTTTGGTCACTTCTTGTTTTACCGGAAATGACTACAACTGTTGTGATTTTTAAATGGGGTCCTCGGTATTTTTTACTTTATTCGATAGAAAATGACACTCTGACTAGAATGACATACTATATGTCAACTTTTGACATTTTTGCTTTAAATTGTATTTTAAATTTCCATCTAGGGTGCTATGGATGTGTTAAAAACATTAATTTGTAATCAAGGAGCCTTGGAAAGATGGGTTTGAACTTTCAATGTCTCTCATGTCTTGTCCTGACCGGTTAAAAGATGTCCAAATCGTATTTTTAATCGTATCTCAATTTTTTCAAATGGAACGAGGGTGGCTTATTAGCATATTTGGAAAAAGCATTTTTTTACGAATAATTTGGTACCACACACTTGGTATTTCGAAACAAATTGTCGTTATGAACCGCATGTTGCAATTTCAAATAAATCATATAAGAAAATGTCAAAAGTTGACATATGATATGTCAACTTTTGTCATCCGAGAGCCAATTAAAAATCAAAAGTTGTCATTTCCGGTGAAACAGGAATTGATCAGAACAATTGAATACGTCGATCAATCCTAATTTATGTCACATACCAACATACCAAATCTCGTTTTTTTATCTCAAAAAAATAAAAAAAGTTATAGAGGTGAGCCACTTTGGAGACACACCCGGTAGAGTATCATGGCTGTGTTAAAACCATTAATTTTTAATCAAGGAGCTTTGGAAAAATATATTTGATAGTTTAATGTTTTTCGTATAATACCATAACTCAATTTTTTCAAACGGAACAAAGGTGACCCGATAGCATATTTAGAATTTTTTTTTACAAATAATCTGGTACCATATATTTTGTGTGTATTTCTTAGACTTTAAACTACTAACGCATATATTTTTTTTTATTTACAGGACGTCAAAAAACCGGAGAAGTTGATAAACGAAACAAACTTGAAACCAAAATTAAGAAAGTCGATGATAATACGAAATTTAAAGAACTCCGATAAGAACCTCATAAGCAGCACGCCGTATCACAAAGCGACTAAAGAACATTTTTTCGAGAACAACACCTCTGCTGAATTCTTGTCACCAATAAGACTGGGAGAAAGCATTAAAAAGAATGATAAAGCTAATCAAGATGAAGATAAAGAACCCCAATCAAAGAACGAGGCGGTTCCAAAGAAACTGGACGCTTCCAAACAGATCCTACCGAACAAAGAAACCTCAAACAGCGACGGTTCGTCTTTGATCTATGTAGGAACGTCTTTCAGAAACAGCAGGAGGGAGCTAGAGTCTAACAGAGATAAAGTTGAGGACAAAGGTTCGCAGGAAGCGGAAGTTCTGGATACGTACGATTTACATGAAAAATCCCGAATTAAGGAAAACAAGAAGGATGGCCCCGTTAAGGTTCCGGAGAAAAAGAAATGCAGAATACCCAGAATGAAAAAAGTTCAAGGGAAAGAGTCTAAACGCAGCACAAGTGTACCCACTCCTAAAAAAATACCACAAAAAAGGAAGGGGTCCAATTCTTTTCTTCGTACTTCTTCGCACCATGACATTTCCAATTCCAAGTCCTTCCAGAACAGTTCGGAGATAAAATTAAATAGAACTCGTAGCGCGCTTTGTAAAGTTGCACCAGACGTGATGGAAGAATCTGTTAGATCCGAAGAGAAATCAAATCGTGCCGATGGATCTGAAGAAGTTGAAAAAACAAGCGATGAGACGATTACAAACAAGGAAAATGAGTTGGCTTATGAAGAAATGCCGAAAGAAAAATTAATATCAAAAGAAGTTGAAGAATCGAGCAATGAAACGATCACAAACCAGGAAATTGTGGTGGATTCTGAAGAAATTCCGAAAAAAAAGTTAAATTTCTCTAAGGAAAAAACTGGAAAACAAGAAAATGCAATCGTGAAAGAAACAAAATCGGACAAAGTTGTTAATGTGTCAGCGAGATTAAATCGTTCAACAGAAAGAGAGTCTTTTAGAGATCAGCTCGAAAAAATTGATACAGAAAATTTAAATAGCTCTAAAAGAAAGGTGAAAAATCAAAGAAACGCTAAATCTAAAAAGACAGAGAAATTGAACAAAAGTAATAGCGTTCTAACTGGTATAAACAATGAAAGTTTAAAGAGACGAGGTAGACCTAGGAACAATAATAGAAGTCTTGATAAAACTGGACCTACGGTCGCTGACAGACCAGAGCAGTCTGTAACTACGCCTAATGATTCTGTGGAGAAGAGTGATGTGCATGTTTGCAACAATCGCAAACGGGTTTTCACGCAGAGTATCGGGTTGTCGCCTATCCACGGTAAGTATTTGTACCATGTAGTGATGGGCAAAACTGTTATTTTTAGATAACAGTTGAAACTGTTATAGTTATTTATAAAAAACAGCTTAAAATAACAGGTTTCTTTATTTTACTGCTAAATATCTGAAAGAGTATGAGACGGTCATCGCCAGGCGTATTAACGCAGTTGCAAGTTGCAACAATGACGTGCTCGGTGGTAGTATTTCCAGGGTGTCAAAACATTTCTAAATATCGATTGTTATCTAAAATACCTCTCTAAAAACGGTGGTTATTTACAAATAAGCGCTGTTTACAAATTGCGATATAAAAAAAGCCAAAATTCGGTCACTCGTCTATAGTATATACCTACGCCCTGCCCCTCGATCCGCGTAGATCCTGAATTGCGTAGCAGTGTACAGGGTGCATCTCACTCGACGGGCGAGAAGCTCTTAGTTATGATTTTACCATTTGCGGTCAAAAATAGCAATATAAGAAAATGTGTAGTATATTCTTCATAAGTAAACCAACTACACACTAGAGTTCGAATTAATTTTACACTTAAACTAGCGTGTACCCGCGACTTCGTTCGCGTCGAATTAATAATTTCTAATGGTGATGACAAAGCAAAACAAGAATTTCCATTAACATACAAACTGGATAAAATTTTCTCACATTTGCCAAAAATAAGCTTTCTAACGTCGAGCAGTTTAAGCAGAATCGTGGTTAATCCGTTAATCAATTACTCAGCTTTTTGGAACACCCTGTATGATTTTTTAAAAATTTCAAAATATGTAAAAAAACAAAATAAATTATGCGTGTCCAGGCGTTTTCCCGAAAGACTAACCGTTTTTTAAATAACAAATATTGTAATATTTGAGGGGCGTTTTCACCCTGTTGGAATTTGAGATTCGAGAAACCCCTCCTTATCGAACCTCAACCCCACAGTCAATCCGTTTGCAAAAAATCAGCTTTAAACGTCCAGCAGTTTAAGCAGAATAGTGATTACTCAATGGTCATATTTTATGAAACACCCTGTATATATTTTTAAAAAATCTTAAAATATGTAAAACAACATATTAAAATATACGTGTTTTAAGAGTTTTTCCGAAAAACTCACCGGTTTTTAAATAAAAAATATTCTAATATTTCAGAGTAATTTCACCCCCTTAGAATTCGAGTTTCGAAAAATTCCTTCTTATCGAACCTCTACACACTAAAGTCAATCCGTTTTCCAAAAATCAGCTTTTTACGTCAAGGGCTTTAAGCAGGATCGTGATTAATCAATGACCAGATTTTTCAAAACACCCTGTATACATTTTTAAAAAATCTTAAAATAATATTCTGAAAATTTTTCAGAATAAATATATACCTAAATATTGAAACTTAATAAGTAAGTACTGAAACATACAGCGCCATAATATCTCGACCTCCGTCCGTTATGCTCGTAACAGGTTGAAACAGAATGTATCTAAAACAACTGATGCGTTATTCCCCAACCTGTTTCGAACCTCCATCGACAATCGACCGATGCAGCAGCGTTCCTTTCCCACACCTATTATCTCGTCCGCCGCCCTGTTATACTTGTAACAGGTTGAAAAACAACATATCTAAAATGACTGCTTCTCCAACCCGTTGCGAGCCTCCATCGACAATCGACCGATGCAGCAGCGTTCCTTTCCCACTCCTGTTATCTCCACCGCCAGGCGTTATGCCCTCAACTGTTTCAAAAAACCTGCTTCTTTTATATCCTATTATTTTTAAGCTGTTGTAAATACGACCATTGACGGTATCGACCGAAGCAGCTACGTTCGCCGTAGCGCTTTCCCCACTCCGTTGTCCGTTGTCTCGCCGCCTGTATCGATGGTTGACGAAATAACATGTTTTCAATCCATACTAGTTGTTTTTTGGAATTGCTTCGAGCAGCATAGAATTTCGTGGTGATGCAGAGCGCCGACTTCGTTTTTCCTTTCACGAGCGGCCGATCTCTACGTGTCGTTATTTTATATCTGTTATTTTTTAAAAGTAGTAACGGTTGCGTTATGTTATTTATAAATAATTGTTATAAAATAACAGATAGTTAAATAACAACCCATCACTAGTACCATGTAATATGTAAACACACTTAGATGCAAAAAACGCAATGGAAATTTTTTTCGTTAAATTTTAAAGTATTATTTTTTTATTTTTAGTCCTATTTTTATGAACCGTGAAATTTACGTACTATTTTTTTATTGCTCTAAAAACTGGTCAAATAACGTGAAAAATAATAAAGTTAAAAAAAATCAAATTTGGCAAAAAAAATTAGGGTGGTCGAATTTTTACCGTTTTTAGTAATTCCCCACTAACGTTTAATATAGAGATGAGTTGTTATTTAACCATCTGTTATTTTATAACAGTTATTTAGAAATACCAAATAACATAACGCAACCGTTGCTACTTCTAAAAAATAACAGATATTAAAATAACGACACGTAGAGTATGAAAAATCTGTTATTTCAACAACCATCGATAACGGACGGCAGGCGAAATACAGCGGAGTAGGCAATGCGCTACGGCGAACGTTACTACATCGGTCGATGGTCGTGTAGGGCTCGTAACAGCTTAAAAATAACGTATATAAAATAAGCAGCTTTTGAACCAGTTGCGAGCATAACGCGTAAAGGTCGAGATAACCTGAGTGGAAAAGTAACGTTGCTGCATCGGTCGATTGTCGATGATGGACTCTGGCAACGGGTTAGATAATAACGTATAGAAAATAAGCATTGATTTTAGATACGTTGTTTTTTAACCTGTTACGAGCATAACGATCGGCGATCGAGATAAACGGAGTTGGAAAATAATAGTTTTTTCCCCTGTGTCGGTTGATCCCGGTGTTTATTTCAATAGTTTGAAAGTGATTTTGTTTTGTCGGATTTCTGGGTATTTTTTGGCATCAATAATGCATGGTAAATAAAAATAATTTATAATTATAACTGAATTAAAGAAAATTGTCTTGATTAAGCTTCTGTTATTAGAATCGTTTTGAGCAAGTTTGACGATTTTTATGATTTTACTACGATTTGGACAATGTGTCAATGTGTGCTCTTTTAGATGTTTAAGATTAAAGTCAGAAAATAACAGATACCTCTTATTTTAAGCTGTTATATACAGGGTGAGTCTTAAATAAGTGCAAATATTTTCAGGGGTGGTATATTTCGACCCCAGGAACACGTCTATGAGGTTTTTCGGCTAAAAAAAGATGTTGAAAATCGTGCATTTTCTTTTAAATTTTCCTGTATATTTTTCGAAAACTTTTTAGAACTGCCTGTTCACCGCAAATTCTCCCACGGTATAATTTCTTAGTCTCTGATATTACCTCAGGACATTACCGGCTTTACTTTATGGTTACAGAAAAAATCCGGTGGCTCTCAAAATTAAAAAAAAATAATTTATTCTAAATTGTCAAACTTAAATAACTCGGTTATTTTGGCCTTATCTGAAAAAAGGTAAAGAGAAAATATGTTTCTTTTATCGAGACACAGGAAGTGAGTAACAGTTTCAACTGTTATATAAAAATAACGGTTTTGCCCACCACTAGTTTAATAGCATATCTAACGTGAGTAGAAGCTATTGAAAATGAACAATTTGCCTCATTTTAAGGAGTTCTTTAAATAGTTTCAAATATTTTTCTGTAAAATAAAATGGGGGAAACTTCATTTTTAAAATTTACATGGGATTTCCTAAGTGCAGGTCGACGATGCAACAGACTGTATGGTTTTTTGGATGTAATGTAGTATTTCGGAATCATATATTCTCTCAATAGTTAAGCTGACTTGTGTTTGATGATCGTATTAAGTATTTAAAAGTCGATAATATTTTTGCATCTGTTAGACAAGAATAGTTCTCATCAATTTTAATATTATTTTTAATTTCCTTGTAGACAGCGGTCACATAATAGACGATGTTATACCGGAAAAACAGGTTTTCACAAAGGATATCGGGTTGTCTCCTGTCAAAGGTAAGTAATCGCTGGTTATAACCAAGGATACTATAGAGATAAGGATAGTTCGATTCCTATCTTCCTGCAGTCAGTTTTTTTACGTCATCTGGGGACCGAGTTGAAGTTGGCGCTAAAGATTTTAGACAGTGACAGTTATTTTTGCATTTGACGGACGAGCGCACAGTGCGGTCGAAGATAAATTTAGCGGGACAAAAGCGTTTGGTTAGAAATAAGCCAAAAAATGTGTACTGTAAGAATAAATAGTAGACATTCCAATTGGTATAAAAAATGCGTGAATATTCTTTGTATTTCGATACATTTTTATCAACCAAATTTGGTCGTTTTCTGCTCAGCAAGGCAGAGATCATACGAAAACAAAATATTTACAAGTTCTTATCCATTTTATTCCAAATTTTTTGAGTTACCAACAGTTACCAACACAGGTAGTCACAGCCACAGGGAGTTCAAGCTTAACAGGTGAATGTCCAAAAAGTTTCATTTCAATCGAATAGTATAAAAACAAAACAACTCCATCAAAAGGCACTGAGTTTAAAAAATTGTCTTAGATACTTACTATATATGAATTTACAATTACCGAGTGTTAAAATTAAAATTAAAATATCTATCTTAATTAATATTTTTAAAATAAAATATAATTTTTAAAAATAAAATATAGAGGGTGTCACAAGATTACAAAGTAATTAAAAAATAACTGCTAAAGAGTTTTTTGTAAGTATTTCACCTGATATTATAATTTTATGTATTTAGCAATAGTTTACAATACGGTTTTTGTGTCATGTACGAATAATATCATAGTTTTATTATCTTGTATTTATTTATTAATAAATTAAGTTGTTAATAAATAAATAAATTTAACCATTTAGTTGCTATATATTAGACCATTTGCTACGTTCTTAGATTTTAAGTCCCAAACATTGCTCTTGAGATTTTGTCCCGCTAGAATAACCATCCGCCGCACTGTGAAGCGCTGGTCAGCGCGTGACGTAGCATTCCACGGCGACTACGACAGCGGCGATTTGACGCGATCGAACAGTCCTTTAGAATATATACAGTCCTTGGGTCATAACAGCTTTTATTAAATCAAACATTAAGTTTTTACTGATTATTGTTGATTTACAATGATGATCAATGACATTTCTTTGATTTTTGCATCTGTTGCACAGGATAAGTTCTCATCAATTTTAATATTTTTAATTTGCTTTTAGGTAGTGGTCGACCCCAGAGAATCCGCAGGCCTGTGTCATACATAATGGACGAAGTTATACCAGAAAAACAGGTTTTCACAAGGAGTATCGGGTTGTCGCCTATAAAGGGTAAGTATGGTCATAGTTTAAGGAAAACAGTAGTTGCACTCTCGCAAATATTTTCTGCCAGTTTTTGCAATCTGTCGAATATCGGCAGATTGCAAAGTGTTTCAGTTGAATTCCGTCCGTCGAGCTGCGAGGTTCGAGCGTTGCGTCCCAGCACAGAGACGGATTGACAAAAAATGAATGCCTTACTGTGTGCTGCTATTAATTGTAGTAATAATTCAAAAAATTTTGAGTTTTTTTTTAAATCGGCAAGCTGATAGTAATTATCAATAAACATTTAATTATATTTGTCTATTTTAGAAGCTGAGATATTATGTAATTAATTAAATGTTATTATTTTTTTAGCATGTGGGCAGATTTTAAAAATAGTATTTTAGATATACAGGTGGTCCCAAATATGCGCATGAAAATATTTTTGGTCGGGGGATTTGCCATAAAATTTTCATTCCAATAATAATTTACGAGATAATTTATATAGATTGGTTTTTGAAACAATTTTAGAGTAACTAATTTTGTACATCTAAAATCTCCGCAAATTATTCATATTTTTTAATTGAAAGAATTTTATAATAGCATAATTTCTTATAAATTTAGTGGCCTGTATTTTTGACGTTTTTTTTATTTTATTTATTTTTTATTATAAGTGGTCGTAATATAACAACATTCAAAATATTATAGACAAAATATTGAGCTTATATTTGAGGGAAGAAAAGTGCCTAGACACCTAGCTTTAAACCACCGTAAATATACAGGGTGGCCCATTAGTGCGAGGAAAAAAGATGTGAAAAACGTTTTATTCATATGTTTCAAAATAGTTTGTTATATACAGGGTGTCACAAAAAAGTTATGGTAAAGTTAGTTTTATTTTTTAAACTGCCTAACCAACTGCACCCCCCCTTCCCATTTTTCTGTAGATAATCGGATTCGGCATACAATTCTGCATATAGTACACTATTTTTATTTGAATCATTCTACAATGTTGCCATTCTATAACTTATTTACTAAAACTTTGGTTAAAAAACCAAAAAAACCGGTTAAAATGCGAGAAGTTGTAAAAAAACTAGAGTGAATATAACTTTATTAACACTTGGCTTTATTATAGCCAAAAATTTAAGAACACTTTAAATACAAAAAATGTTCACCTTTTAAATTTACATCTGAAAGAAAAATGATATACAAGGTGTTACATTTAAAAAAAAATGAGATACAACATTTTAAATATTACGATTTTGGTGACGCCATAAAAAATACCCTGTATACGATACGAAGTAAATTTTTCTACACGAATTTATTCTGGTATCCTTCATGTTTAAGAAAACATAGCTCAGTATTAATAAAGTTATATCACTCTAGTTTTTACCACTTTTCGTATATAATGTTTTTAGCCAAAGTTTTTAGTAAATAAGAAATAGAATGGCAACACCGCAGTGTGCTTTAAATAAAGTCAGTGACTATATGCAGAATTTTATGCCGAATCCAGTTATCTACAGAAAATTAAACTTGTTTTAAATAAAAAAAGTTGTAGAAAATCTCTGAAATAGATAATAATATAAAAATTTGTCATTATATATTTTTCCGCATTTCTTCCCATCAGAAGATTTTCAGACACAGAAGAATTGTTACCTACACGAAATGTGAAAATATTCTGTTTTCAAATTACAAATTAAAAAAGTTTCCATACTTTTGGCCACCACTGTATATTAAGACTTAAAACAGCATTATATGCCACTTTTTCAAACATGTCCTTCAAATCCTCCAATTTAATAGCTGTTAGTAAGAAGTTTCACTTAAAATATGCGCACATAGTGCACACACAATTTTTTAAATTTGTTTTTGTTTCAGTTGCTCCATCAACGCCTATTCAGCGAAGAGCCGAATTGAGTCCCCCTTCTCTGGGCTTGCTATTACAGGAAATCGTCGAACGCAAAAGAGTCGCTATAGAAAAAACAATAGAGAAAATTAAAACACGAGCCGTTACGCCGACAGCTTCGGAAGATACGGCGTCGAACAGAAGGATGAGAATTCATTTGAAACTGGCCACTTTGGACTCAACACAAACATCGCGCCGTGGCTCTTCGTCCGATGAGTCGTCGCGTTCGTCCATCGCATCGTTAGTGAGGAAAGTATACGAAAAAGGCGCCATGCACGTTTCCGATAGACCGTCAGGTCCAAACATTTACGATACTCTGGAGAAAGGTGCCACTTTGGACGATATCCAGTCCTTTAGCGATTCTTCTAACTCTTACTGCCCACCTGCTCTGTCTATGGAAAGGCCGTGGAGGTTCTCGGGCAACGGGGTGGTTCCGGAACAGAGCCGCAGCGTCAAGCTGAACTTTCTGCGCAGCGAAAACGCGATCAGCGCTTCCCAGTTCGGAGACGTTGACCGGATCTCGGAGGACAGCGAGTCGATTTGTAGCGAAGACTCCGGCCATTCTACTAACAGCGCTGACGATTATTCTTTAATCGATCGCCCGGTTCTGGAGGTGACCAGGAGGAAGGCCGGTGTTGCCTCGTCGCAAACTGCGAAGCGGCAGTACTCGCAATACCAGAGGAAGAGCGCCAAGCCGAAGGTTGACGAAATGAACGATGTTGGTCCATCTGGGGATGATATAGTATCGATATCTTCGGCTGATCAACGATTGTTAGGCGTGCAACCGTTAAGCAGCTGTAGTGTTGATAAAAGAAACACGAGAAGAACGAATTCGTGGTCACCGAAAAAGAAGCAAATACTTGGGAATGCCGAAGATCGCCAACCAACGGCGGAAGAGGACCTAGAAATGCAAAAAGAACAACGTACGGCTGGTTTGGAAGTTGCGGCAATTATGACTGGCAACTCACCAATTGGAAGTTTGAATGATGAAGATAAGTTGGAATCTCCAGCAGTCGTTCCTGATAAAGAAGCTGAATTTAAAAATAAGCGTCCGAAACGAAGTAACTTCAATTCGAGGGCCATCATTCATGCTTCTCCTCCTGTCGTAGCGCCAAAAGAAGTTAAAGTGACCAATCAGCGAGAGAAGCGTAAAACTGGGAACAGAAAGGGAAACACCAAGTCGATTTTGGCTGCAGTTGAGCAGGACAGTATAACTTTCAGTAAGTTAATTAACCATAATCAGGGTTGGGTAGGTAGAAAATTTTATATTTCCTACCGTATTTTCTACACCAACTAATTTTCTACATTTTTTACATGTCCAGACGTAGAAAATTAGTTTTGTATATTGTAAGCCTTTTTTAAGTTTATATTTATTTCAAATACTTCAATCACAACAATTAGTACATACATAAACTAATAAAGATATCTCTAATTATTATTTACTATTTAACAAATGGATAATATATAGTATGTCAAAAAAAGCTTAACTATTAACTTCCATATTATTTTAAATTGATGTATACAACGGCAGGGTGCGTGACAGTGACTGTTGTGTCGTTATAATTCACAGGCAAATCGTATTTTCTGTCATTTTCCGGATGTCGTCTGTCGAAATCTTTCTTGCTTTGTTACACACTATATTCGAAGTTTACAGATATCTTAAAAGTTTTCAATAGTAAGATCAAAGTTTACAGAATAATTCTATGTAATTCTGTGAACTTTGGTAAGACTCAAACAGAACAACAACAAAAAATAACATCTTGCATGTGAAAGTAAGAACTACATATCACAATAATAATTATTATACAGACCGGACCACCGTAGTAGTAACATAGGCAGAACCGGACGAATTAGCGTATACCCGTCCGCCGGATAAAAAGCAGGCGAAAAAATGCGATAAAATAAAAATAGGTAGATATGTGATAAGAATGTTTCAGAATTTGTATTTATTCGTGTTTTAATGGCCAAAACGAATACATTGATTCTCGCGATAGTTCTCGTGTAAAATTTATTTTTTAAGTAAAATAATGGATGTTTACGAAGTTCGTGAGAAAATTCAGATTGTAAAATGGTATTTCCAAAATAGGTCTTATCGGGATATACAAACAATTTTTCCACAAACTTTTGTAAACAGGCCAATTCCATCTCTACCTATTATATCAAGAGTTATTAATAATTTTGAAGCACATGGGTGCGTGTCCCCACAAAAACACAAAAAGCCTGATGTGTTGATTAATGAAAAACAGGAGTTAAAGCAAGTGTTCATTTGTGCTACCGCGGATCAAAATCCCACGTTTTCAAGCAATCAAATTGCTGAGGTGGTTGCCCTGCCCACAATGCCCGTATTGTTTAAGAATATTTGAACAATACTTTTCCCAACCGTTTAATTAGTGGATATGGAATTAGTGGATATGGAATTGAATATTTTGTGGCCCGCTCGAGCACCAGATCTTTCTCCCAATGATTTCTTTTTGTGGGGTTATGTAAAATCCAAAGTGTATGGTCATAATAGGGCTAATAATCTGGATGAGCTTCAAGTAAAAATGCGAGAGGCATTCCAAACTATTAGGCCTAATATGTTAGCCAATGTCAGACGGGGATTTTACGACGTTCTGTCTAGCACAAGAAGGTGGTCTTTTTGAACACCTGTTATAATTTTTTTCTATTTAGAGTAGGTAATATTTTAGTTTTTTGGGGGTTTAGAGAATTTATTTATTTTTAGTTTTGGCTTGTAAACACACTCAAATAATAAATATTTAAGAATTTTTATTTTAAATGTTACCTTAAGTGAAGGTAAACACTTAAAAATGAAAATAATAAATACTCAGCACTCCTCGCGTCGTATTCCTAGTCTGTCACGAATGAAGTCCAAGCACAACTGCAACTGCGTACTGCCTGACCAGCCGACTAGCCGGCAGTGAATCTCGAATACGAACGCAAATCGGGTAAACGTAAATTCGTCCGGCAACTTGCTATGTTACTAGTAGCCTGGTCTTCTCTGTATGTATATAGTTTATGTGAAACCACAGGCCTTCTATGGTAAAATTAAAAAAAGGAATAACGAAAACTTTCAAAGAAAAAAAATCAGACATTTCTGGACGGTCTTCAGATTAACCAGAAAAGAATATTCTAATAGTCTTCAGATCGATTACTGTCTCTTATCTTGATGGAGTTAGCACCGTCACAGACTAGAGAGATAGCGCGCGCGCACATATTACAGTTTTAACGCATAGAATTTAAAGAAAATAGAACTGAAGAAACCTCAAAAGTGAAAAAACGCCTTTAAACATACAAAATTCATTTTATACCTGTTCTCAGATTTTATACATTTTCTACTTAATATTCTACATAGAAAATTAATTTTCTACGCGTCGTACCCAACCCTGACCATGAAAATAAAAACCATAATAAAATGCAAGAACAATGCACTTTCCGTTGCATTTTTGTGTACAATGTAAATATTATTTGGCGCTATTCTTGCAACGGTCGCGACCCAAAACTTTTGATAATTTCGGAGCGGTTCGGGTTTTTCCGCAATTATGTCGCCAAATATATTATTTATTCAAATTTATTATTATTTTCTTTTAATTTTATAATTTATATTACAATTTTCATAATTTTAATTTGTTTTTAGGCAGTTGTCGACCACAGAGAATGCGCAGGCCAGTGTCGTACGTGATAGACGATGTTATACCGGAAGGTGCCATTATTTGTAAGTTTAAAAAAGAAATGTCGATAAAATAAATCAATTATTTTTATTTCTAGTGTCGACGTTTAGAGGAACACGTCGGAGAATAGCCGACAGAACGGATGTCAGAACAAGTACGATAAGTCGAGGTACTATTATTAAATTTTTATTATTTATTCATTTATACACTCAGTTAATAAATAAAAAAATATCAGTTAATAAATCAAAAAGATCAGCTAATAAATAAAAAAATAACTCTTCAAAAAATTATATATAGGTATTTCGCCACTGCAAGAAAATCTACAAAATAAAATAGTTATTTTTTGTAAGCACTGCTGCGTTAATCCAACGGAAACTTGCTCAGCAGTTAGGTTTACAGATAAACAAATTTGCCTAACGAACAAAAAATGTCCAACTTAACAGAAGTTAAATGATTATCCGTAACTGTATCCTGTATCGCGTTATTTCTCAATTTCGCGTATTTGGCTTATTTTTGGTTGTTTGTACTTGATATTTATTATTTGGTCGTTTATTAATGACAATGAGGAAAATGCATGTTTTTAAATAATGGTTTTAAAAAATAGTTCATATAATTACAAAGTTAGTTAGGATTTTTAGGAGAAAATAAAAATAAAATAAAACATTTGGTACTAATTTGAAATAAGAAAGTTGGGCCACACACAGGATTTCTAAGGCACCCTGTATATGCAAAGAAGACTGTTTTGAAAAATGTATTCGAGACCATTAAACTTTTATTCAAGACACTTTTTTTCGAAAACGTCGAATAAAAAAGATACAGAGGATATATAAAACAAACCCTGTATATGGCGGAGGAGTAATAATTGCTCAATATTTGTCTGTTTCATCTTGGCTCTGCCAAAAATCGTAAAATTTAGTGAAATGTAAAATATTCTTACCGCATTTTGGTAGCTGTATTAGTCAAAAGATGATTTTTCCATTTTATGAGTCCCCTCCACCACCCCCAACCACACTCAAGTCAGCCAAAGTAACAGGGTTCACGGCCTCCGGGCATGAATGTTTTTACCAAATTTGAATAAAATTAACATTTTTTCGGCAATTTTATTAACATTTGAAATTGTTACAACACGACGCCTAGTTCGAAATCTTTTTACTTATTTTTTACTACCCGAAACAGCGTTATATCACACAAACCTCCTACCTGAGTGTTTTATAGTCTCAGTAACTGCACTAGCAAAAAACTAAAATACTTAAAGATTATGACAAAGCCACGATTTCAATATTATTTTAATGCGATCAACATAAACTGCAACCGGGACGGCGTGAAATACATACCGAAAATTTCTGCTTTCTACCGTATACAGCGCCGCGGTCGGAATTTTTTGAAATCGACTCACCAAGCCTATAGTCTTGTAGATGCTTTAATGTCTGAATTTTATCACTTTTAAGAGTCACGTTACGAGGAAAGCATTCAAAAACAACGTCGCACTACTGCCAAAGGCAAGAAAAGCCATGAAAATCATACAGTACGAGAAGAGCCTGAGGATTTGGATGCGGCTGGACCCTCAACTACAAATCGTTCCGAAAACCTCATTGCAGAATCGCACGAAATTCCAGAGCAAGCAGAGCACGAATTACCAGAACAACCCACAGGTATGTCGAAAAATACTTAATTCCATATGTGTATTTTTTATCGCGTATCTTTTATTATATAAATTTTAGAATCTCAACGCACGGAAAAAACAACTACTGCAGAACGTCAAGAAACCGAAGAGCCGACTAAACCTACAGGTATGTCATTACCATACATGTCTAGAATCATTACATTTCTAGAATCATTACATTATATTTCACTTGACGCTCCAAATTCGGAGCATGCCACCGATTGAAGCATTAATACTATCTGATGCACTTAGTTCCCTCAACAGTATTGCTTCTTTAAACTCCAAAAACTCTCTAACCTGCATCATTCGAGATCTATTGATGATCTGACTGTCTCATCGCCCAGGACTCGGAGCCATACATTAATATAGGAAATATTAGGCAGTGAACAAGCCTTTTTTTTAAGTGTTTAGATATGTTTTTGTCTCGCCATATCTTTGAGAGTTTTCGCACTGCCACTCTTGTCATTTCACATCTTCTTCTTATTTCCCCTTCTAACGATCCCATGTTGTTTATAAGTGACCCAAGATATATATATTGACTTACAACCTCAAAACGACCAATGCTCACTACATCAGGTTTGTTGTTGTTTTGCCTGTCGATAATCATAATTTTTGTTTTAGAGGGATTAATTTCAAGTCCAAGTTTCTCGCTTTCGTCTTCAACCAATTTTAGAAGCTGCAGTAACTCTTCCTCGTTTCCCTCTAGAAGGACCGTATCGTCTGCAAATCTGAGGTTGGTAATTTTGTGACCATTAATTGTTATCCCCCCTTGCCAATGTTCCAATGCCCTTCTCATGATATATTCAATACATATATATATATATATATATATATATATATATATATATATATATATATATATATATATATATATATATATATATATATATATATATATATATTGGGAATAACTTGGGAGATAGTATGCACCCCTGCCTAACACCACAGGTAGGCTGGAAGTCTTCCGAGTAACGCCATTGATGGTAATTCTACTTTTGGTATTTACATAGAGATTCTGGATCAATGAAATCAAATGAAGAGGCACGCCCATTTCTTTAAGAACCATCCATAGTTTTGACCATTTGACTTTGTCAAAAGCTTTTCGATAGTCTATGAAAGAAATATAGAGCGGATTGTTAAATTCTCGGGCCTTTTCGATAATCTGACGGATATTCAAAATTTGTTCACCGTGTTCCTCGACCTCTTGTGAATCCTGCTTGCTCTGGAGGGATTTGTGGTTGAATATACGGTTTTAACCTTTCGTTAATGATATGAAGAAGAATCTTACTGGCATGTGAAATTAGCGCAATGGTACGAAAGTTGTCGCATTTGGCTGGAGATCCCTTTTTGTGGATGGTTATTATGGAACAATCGGTCCAATCTGATGGCCATTGGTGAGTATGCCATATCATATTACATAACTTGTGCAAGATGTTCACACCAAAATCTCCCGACGCTTGGAGCATTTCGGCCGTGATGTGATCTGGTCCCGGGGCTTTATGATGTTTTAGGTTTTTTATTGCTGCTTCAATTTCCGATCTCAGTATGTCTGGTTCTTCATTAATTATATCACTGTGGAAAGAGCAACTAGGCTGAGGATCTTATTATTGAAGCTTATTATTGAGGGCTAAAAAACCCTCGCTGTTGACGCGCTCTATAAATCAATACCTCTCTCTCACTCGACGCTTCTCGCTTGTATAGTCTATAAAATGAATAACCTTGAATTTTGACCGTTATTTTTTACCAACATGTCAAATATAAAATCCCTCTGTCAAAAAAGTTACTGATATTCTTTAAATAGAGTGCCTGAACGAATCAGATAGGTAACTCTTTTTACTTTCATGAAATAGAAAAGGAAAATAATAAAACAAGTGACAGTTCTTCCTCTTCTTGCAAAAATCTACACGAAATGTCATAATTGACAAAAGTAAAATGTCATCAGCTTTTGACACTTCTAAATATTAGACCAATGCCGTCTCTAATAGAACAGCCACGGAGCGAGATTTATGACGTCACGCTAGTTAGATACTACGGATTAATAAATATGTTGTAGAATACATGGAAAACATAATTATTCCTCGTATTTTTGGTTTGTTTTTTAAAAATGATATAGTTTACATGAAATATACATAATATACAGTTAATAAATACAATATAATATACTTAGATTAAGAAGATAATATATACCTATTTATAGTAATAAATACTTTGGCAAATAAACTATGAACCATACAAATGCAGCAAATGTTTTTACAATATACAAATAATGTGGTACATAAGATAATGCGTAACATGTAAAATATATTTTAAATTTTGGGGTTTGAAAATCGATCTAATTTAACAAAAAACATTCAATATCTACTAATAGTGATGTATTATTATTTGCATTCACAACATTTATTTATATATTATAACGTTTACTGCAATTAATAAACTAATATAAACTTGTCAAAAGATGACCACATATTTTTTTAAATTATTATTCTTAACACAAAAACTTTCTACACTGACTATGGAGTACGATTTATTTTAAAACATTTGCTGCATTTGTATGGTTCATAGTTTATTTGCCAAAATATTTATTACTATAAATAGGTATATATATATTGTATTTATTAACTCTATATTATGTATATTTCATGTAAACTATTTCATTTTTAAAATACAAACCAATAATACGAGGAATAATTATGTTTTCCATGTATTCTACAACATATTTATTAATCCGTAGTATCTAACTAGCGCGACGTCATAAATCTCGCTCTGAGGCTGTTCTATTAGAGACGGCATTGCGTCAGCATGGCCGCAAGTTGCTAACCTAATAAAATTAACACTAGAAAAGCCCGCGGGAACTGTCAAATTCAAAGTTATTCGTTTTACGGACTATATGCGCCAAGTTTTTCGTTGGAATCGTAGTGCTGGCAATTTGTTTTACTTACTGTTGAAAAATCACCCTGTATTTATTTGGATTTATTTTTTGTTTTAGTGCGCAGACGAGGACGTAAGCCAAAGCACGTCGCCCCTCCTCAAGAGCCTGTTGGTCCAACTCTGGACAACATGTCATCAGGAACTTCAACTACAGGTGATTTAATTTTTTAAGGCATATTTCTAAACGAAAAAGATTCTTTTTCTTATTATACAGGGTTGTTCACCACATACGATACGAAGTATTGTAGCTAAACGATTAGATTTTTACAAATTGTAAGTTTTGTATTCGATGAAGGACTATTAGAGTTACAATTTAAAAATATTTTTAGAAGATGCGGAGTGTCCCAAATAAGTAAAAAATATAGTGTAAATATAGTATTGTATTCGGCATTTCAGATTTTTACCCAAAGTAATCCTAATCCCATCTGCGAACTTTTTTTTTATATTTCACTCAACTCTTCTCGCTTGTATGCGCCAAGTATTTCGTTGGAATAGTGGTGCTGACAATTTTTGTACTTACTGTTGAAGAATCACCCTGTATTTATATGGATTAATTTTTTGTTTTAGTGCGCAGACGAGGACGTCCAAAGAACGTAGCTTCTAAAGAGTCTGTTGGTCCAACTGTGGACATCATGTCATCAAGCACTTCAAGTACAGGTGATATACATTTTTAATTGCATTTTTATTAACGGAAAAATATTATTTTTCCTATTATACAGGGTGTTTAAAAAACATATGCCATCTCTCGTGGGGAGATTCCTCATGTAAAAATATACACTTGCGTGCATAGAAATCGGCCCAAGGCAAACTTTTGAAGTTAACTATATATTTTTTAGAATCTATTTGTCAGATTAAGAAAAAATACATGCTGTTTGAAAGACAATTTCATATTCTTTGAAAAGAGTTTAGAGATATTAATTTGTATTTTCGTTTCTTTGGATTAAAATTATTAAATTAATGCATGAAACAAATTATTATCGTTTTTTATTACTAAGAGGTATGTTATTATTTATTTATTTATTTATGGACAATTAATTAAACTAAATTTTCAATAATGGGTATAACCCCCTCTTGCTCTAACAACATCTCTAATACGATTTGGCATAGATTCGATCAAATTTGATATTGTTTCTTGTGGGATGTTAAGCCACTCTTCCTCTACTGCAACAATGACCTCTGGGATAGAAGTTAGGGCTCTTCGTCTAGTACGAATTCTTCGTTTTAGCTCATCCCATAAATGTTCTATCGGGTTTACGTCTGGCCTGCATGCTGGCCATTCCATAATCCGAAATCCGACTTCTGAGGTGTAATCGTGTACGATTCTTGATGTGTATGCCCCGCATTGTCATGCATAAAAGTGAATTTGTTTCCAATGTAGTCGACCTAAGGTACCACATGAACTGCTAAAATCTCCTCAATATACCTAGCACCAGTTAAACCTCCTCCGTGGTCGAAATAATAATTGGTCGAAGGAATTTATCCTTATCATTTACTCTGATAAATGTTTAAATAAACTTTTCAAATTTCAATCCTTCATATTTTCTCAATGACTCGACCGATTTTCAAAAACAAAGCGGGGAAATATAGAGAATAGAAAGCTCTTTTCATTCCGGCACCACGTGACCCCTCTTCCCATTTGAAAAGTTGGGGGATGACACCCCCGTTTACAGGGTTGAAGACTTTGCAATCATTTTTGGGGCAAAAGTTGTCCCCCTCACAAACAAAATTGACGTGTTTTTGGATTTTCTGAAAAAAAATACCCTAGCCGTTATGCCTTGCGGAACGTTTTCGATGGGCCACCCTGTATAATATTTATATATTAAAAGAAGAATCACCTTGTATTTATTTGGATGTATTTTTTGTTTTAGTGCGCAGACGAGGACGTCCAAAGAAAGTCGCTCCTCCTAAAGAGTCCGCTGGTCCAACTGTGGACAAAATATCTTCAGGAACTTCCAGTACAGGTGATTTAAATTTTTTTTATCGCGTTTTTATTAACCAAAAAGGTTATTTTTTCTATTATACAGGGTGTAAAAAAATAGTGTATCTAACTTCGGTGGGTGATTCTACAGATAAATTAAAACAAAAAGTTCCTATGAACATATGCCCTAAAATAACTTTGCGTATAAAGATCTCCCGATTTCCCTAATACTGAAATCAATGCTTTAGAACCTTTTTTGCATCAACTCATCAGGGGAGACATTTGACCTTTTCAAAATTTACATGGGATTTCCTGATCCCCACGGTATAAAAGACCACCCTCGTATTCAGAATGAATAATTATTACAGACATATTCACAAATCCCTGTTTGCACACTCTAATGACAACATTTTTCAGCAAAAACCTTCGCAGATGTTGAAGATAGTTCAGAACATCGGCTTATGCCGCCGCCTCCGATAGACTCTGGTTTTATGACAATGAGCGGAACCATAAGGAACACCAATCACGGGACCAATTTAGCAAATGACACAGAGAAAGGTAGATAGACGTAGTAATCCAGTTAATAACACACAGACGATAGATAAACAAAGCTTTAAACGTGAGTTGTCAGCCAATCGGTAGACAACTGACGTTTAAAGTATTGTTTTTCTGTCAACCATAACCAACGGTTGTTCGCTCGAAATTGGCTTAAGTATTATATTTGATGGAAATATCATTTTTAGCAGGGTTGGAAAAAATCATGATTTTTTTTCTCAAACGTCTCAAAAGTATTAATTTTTGTCATTTTAACGACTATAGTCATAAAAGTAAATCACTCTTACGCCTAAGCACAAAAGTACAAAAATATATTATTAAACTGATATTAGGTGTCAAATTCAACGAGTGTACAAATCGTTTCTCGATTACTCTTTGTATTATTTGCAATGTTTGAAATTGAAAATATAGTGTTTTATTCGGAGTAAAAATGTACTTTTTGTTTTTCCTTGTAACGTGGGAATAGCTTTACGATGGTTCTTCAAATGTACAGCATCGTCAAAAAAAGTATAATTTCTACTCTTAATAAAACAATACACTATTGTTCGGAAATAGTCTTTAAGTCGAGAATGAAATTAGTATTATCTAATGTCAAAGTATAAAGTACTTACTGCAAATCAAAATGTCGGTAAGAATTTGGAAACATACCAACGTTTCAAAAAAAATATATAAAACAACATATTTTCTGACAAGGATTATAGATTTTCGGGAATGAAGATAATAACTAGGTTCTATATATAGAGACTATATTATAGTCTCTACATCACTAGGTAACTAGGTTCTTCTGATATAGAGACTATATTATAGTCTCTATATCAGAAAAACCTAGTTCTGCACTAGTCGGCGAATGATATGTATTCGAAAAGCGAATTTTTGTCACTTATAAATAAATTTTAAAATAAATCCCTGCGTTTAGCGGTTTTATGGATTCACACGAAATTACTTCAAAAATTGGTTCAACTTTTAAGTTGATGAATAGATATTTTTATATAGTTTTATAAAATTTACAATTATTTTTCGATTTATTATCTGTTATATTTGTTATAGAAATATTTTTTATAGTTTTCTGGGACAGATTTTTATAACTTTTACAGTTATTTTTTGATTTATTATAAAGTTTCAATAAAATTAATTTTTTGATTTAAATCACCATGATTAAAATTTAAAAAATCACTTGATTTAAATCATGATTTAAATCATGCCAAACCTGATTTTTAGGCATTTCCAACTCATTTGATAATATTACATCATCATACAACATGCCTTCAGATCGAACGTCAAATACTCACAGAGATGGAGCTGTTACAAAGAAGAAACTAAGGAACAATGTTGCTAAAAAAGCGGTGAGCAGAATTACCAGGGGTTTGGTGCGAATGTCCAGATTAAGGTAATTATAGCAATAGCAAGTGTTTTGTTGGCGATGGTATCTTGGAAACGAAACGTCATATTTGACATTTATCAGCACCTTGCAATTTATAACAACTTTTTGTTGAATATTCATGAATAGGGACAAATCCATTGTCTCCATTTTTGGCTAATTTATTCATGTGCATGTTTGAAGTATACAGGCTAAACATTAGTTTCAGTATTTTCCAAGAGTGTGGTTTAGGTATATTACAACTTTATTTCTTAACTAAATAATCCTTTTCCTTCCATTACCTATGAAATTGAGAACGATGCTAGATTACCTATTCTTGATATATTAGTTTTTAGAAATACTAATAATTGCCTGGAATTTGATGTCTATATGATGTTTTTAAGACCACTACACACAAATACAGGGTGATCCGAATTGTATTCCGGAAACTTCGGCACCATATTCTGCAGATAAAAATATGTAAAAAAGTTCGTATAAATGTATGTCCTGAAATGCTTAGTTTCGAAGATACAGGGTGTAGAAGTTTCATTTTTATTTCGATTTTTTCCAAATATTTTGTGAAGTAACATCAATATTTGGATGAAAATTGGTGTCTAGGTGTTTTTTGACATGAGAAATTTGATTTTGATGTCAATATGACTTTTATTTGTAGAGGGCACCACCTACAGGTATTTTAACTGTTTTGAAGAGTAATAACTTTTCGTCCGTACCTGTATAAAACTACTGAGTGAAAAAATATGCATTTCCGTGATTTTTTACGTAAAAAATGTCTCTTGGTAAAAATCGCTACAAGCAGCCGTTCTCAAGATATTTAGAACGGGAACAGTCAATACATGTCATTATTGACAAAAAATAAACATGTTAAGTAGATAGTTATTTGACTAAAATTATAAATTTGGGAACTTTTTATTTTTTTAAATTAATCATAATAAATAAAAAATCGGTAAAAAAACTTTTTTTAAGTTAAACGGTTTTATCTTATGTGCACTGAAAACTAGAAAATAATAATAACAATTAGGTATTTTGAACTTCTAGTTCAGAAATATTTTAGTACTAGGCAGAATAGCTTTTAGGCATATTAGACTAAAATAAAAACGTGGGGCCCCTCTGAAATCCTACCTATGGCAAAGCATATCTTTATACTTTGGTAGATCATGAGCTCGGCGTTCGCTGGTGAAGCCGCCACGGCTGGTTATTGATTGTCAAAATCTCCAGTTACGATTAGAGTAAGTCGATGCAATCCACACTTAGTATAGAAGAAAGTATTACAGCAATAGTTAATGGGCCCCACGTTTTTATTTTAGTCTAATATGCCTAAAAGCTATTCTGCCTAGTACTAAAATATTTCTGAACTAGAAGTTCAAAATACCTGTTTGTTATTATTAATTTTAGTTTTCAGTGCACATAAGATAAAAACCGTTTAACCTAAAAAGTTTTTTACCGATTTTTATTTTCTAGTTTTTAGTATTAACGGAAATGCCTACCGAATATTCCTCATTCTATTTAATTCATTTAGTGCATCATTATTACATGGTTTTTTACCTGATAATTTATTACAATCTAATTCCTCAATACATAGCCCTTCCAGAGACTTGACTCGACTTAGAGCCACGTATGCTTGCCCTTCCTCAAACAATTTTGAGCCCAAATACACTACTGCATGGTCGACTGTGCTGCCCTGCATTTTATGGACGGTGGATGCCCATGATAAAATTAAGGGTAACATCCTTCTTTCAGCCGTACCATAATTGAATTTTGTTGGAAACTGTATGGCTTTCGGGTGTATAACGTGTATGCCGTCTCTGCCAAAGTCAATCCAAACTCATGGTACATCTGTTTCGTACATTTGGGTTCGACGGAACTGAGGCCAAACAATTTCTGTAATGTGGCCTATAGCACCATTTACCAATCCTTTTGTAACGTCAATGTTGGACCGCAACATTACTTTTGCTCCTACAAATATTTCAAGTACTGATGGTAATCCTAATACGCCATTTTGTAACGACGTCCATCTTGGATTTTAAATTTTGTCATAATCACAGTATTCTACTAGTGTAGCCCTTTCATTTGACACCCATATTGAGGGGGTTGTGGAAAAATATGAAATCCGCCATTTTGTACCGGCGGCCATCTTAGATTTACAATGTTATTGATATTACTATATTGTATTGTCATCGGAACTAAAGGTGTGTACCAAATTTCAGATCAATTTGACAACAGGAAGGTACTTAAATTTCAATTTTTAATTTTGACCCAAATAAACAAACAAATAAATAAATACCGTACGGGTCGAGCTAAATAAAACCGTTTAAAAATGATGATAAAACAGTTTCTGTTGAACTTTTGGCACAAAAAGATTTCAAATTTATGATTTCAGTCTAATAACTATTTAGTCAACCTATTTAATTAATGTCACTGATGACAGGTATTGATAAATTCGATTCCAAATATCTCGAAAACCATTACTCGTAGCGATTTTTACAAAGAGACATTTTTTACGTAAAAAACGTTGTAAATGTATATTTTTTTACTCAGTAGTTTTATACAGGTACGGACGAAAAGTTATTACTCTTCAAACCAGTTAAAAAATATATAGGTGGCGCCCTCTACAAGCAGGAATCCTACTAACATCAAAATCAAATTTCTCATATCAAAAAACTTCTAGGCACCAATTTTCATCCAAATATTGACTTTACATCATAAATTATTTGAAAAAAATCGAAATAAAAATGAAACTTCTACACCCTGTATTTCCGAAACTTAGCATTTTAGGACATACATTTATACGAACTTTTTTACTTATTTTTATCTGCACAATATGCTGCCGAAGTTACCGGAATACAATTGGGACCACCCTGTATATTCATAATGTTGAGCAGAAGATGGCAAGTACCAATTAAACTTTTAGTTATGTTTTTTAAATTCATTGTTTGCCAACCATGGACATATTCGGCGCCGGGCTGGCTAGCTGGAATTTAAATTTCCCGCTGGGAATTCATGTGGTAGCTTTGCTGTCAAAAAAATATCCAGTTGCCACATTTATTTATTTATTCCCGGACATTGTCATTCGTTTTGACACTTTAGTTTTGGTTTGGTTTAAAAAATTAGTGTTGTGATAATTTAAGCTTAAAAATGTTTACTAGCAGACCATGCAGTTGAACATTGTTCTTTTTAGAACCTCTTTTAGCGCGAAGTGTACAAGATAGCTTAATAGCCGTAAAAAAACTCATCGCAACTTTATTAGAATATTTTGAACGGGAAAGTGGTAGTAATGACCCTTTATGTCCCCTAAGTGCTGTTAAGAAGGTGAGTTTTGTTGATGTAAATAATAACTGTTTATATATTTATAATTAATTTATTTTTGTTTCCTTAAATATTTTGATTAAAAGAAAATATGCAAAAGTGGGCAACGCTGTGCCGGTCAAGCTTAATCACGTGACTAAAAGTTTATTTGATATGAACTATATGTAGTTTTCTACTTACCAACAAAAGATAAGAAATAGAATGAAATTACATTAGGAATGTAGCCGATATTAGTTTAGTTTTAATCAGTTGCTGGTGATGCTAACATGGTTAATTGCAGTGAATTAGTATTTTTATTTTACTATCACATTATGAAAAGAAGAAGATAACAATAAAATAAGATTTATTTTAAAATATAAAGATTACAATATTTAATTTTTCTTTCGAATATCTTGGGAATGTTTTTAATTTTCCAAACGTCAATAATATGGGACATAAAATTGAGAAACCTTGCTATAATTTGACCTCTTTCTTATCTCTTATAGTTTCCGAGGTCCCAGTAACCACCCTCGGATTTGAGCCACCCTCTACTTAATTTATAAATTTAATTTCAGCTTAGAAAATGATTCTAATGCGTCCGTACAAGACAACACTTCTGCGATTGTACCGAACCATGACAGTCCACAAAGACAAGATGGCGTTCCTGAATTTAGAAGATTGAACGGGTACAAGTCGCCAAGCTGTGGTGAATCCATTAGTTTTTGCAGGGGTCAGGTGTCTTACGATATGAGTACGTATATTTAAAAAATACGATATCAGTTTGTACATAAATATAATATATATTGAGTAGTGGTAGAGATGAGTACCCAAAATAAAACTGAAAATGACAAATGTCAGATTTTTCAAGAAAAATCTCATGACAACCGGCAACATTTGCCGTGACTACCAAATAATAGTTGTTGTTATGATACTAGTGTGTTATCTTACATACTAAGGACTGGCAAAGGTTAGTCTTGGGTCGAGATTTCCGTATGTAAGAAGAGTGCAATGCGTTTATAATGTACTGAACAAAGAGAGCACAGTAAACACGTTGCCAAACGTATGAAATAAACTGAGAAACTGTGCACATCGCTAAGAGACGTAGAAGGGGATATAGCAGATTTGTCGCAGTTGACCGGTCGACCCAATCAATACCTCTGTCAGTACTTAAAGTTCTAGGGAAAGGTGTACGTCATGCGTTCAGTTTCACGATTTAATTACGTCTCGTGATACTTAATTTGTTTATTTATTAACGCGTCGTTGTAATTTTCCCTGTAGCTTGAATTTTTTTTAAGTGCAAGCTAGAAACACTTGCATTTTTGGTAAAAATAAGTGGAATTGAGTGGGTGTTCGATAGTGGTCGCGCTATTAGAACTCTGAATTCAAAAATGGATATCTCGAAATCTATTAGAAATAATAGATTGTAGTTTTTCAAGAACTTTGTTAATATTTCTGCTGTATTTTCTTTGTAGACAGTATGTGAAAATCTTTATCAATAAAAAAATTACACGATTGCTGAAAATTGCTATGCTCTAAAAGTAAATGGATGGATTGTTTGTTTACAATTTTTGAAAAAACAACCTTATGGAATTTTTCTTATGTAAACATATTGTAAAATATCCGATCTTGAAAATAAAAAAAAGTTTCAATATCTAAAGTGGTTCTTGAGTTATGGCCTGTTATGTGTTAAAAAGTTGAGTTTTTAAATTATCGCTATTACTGACGTTTTCTCGTTATAAAATAAATGATACCTTAACGATATCCTTATAATTCCATTTCAGATGCTCAGAAACATTACAAACCTAATGATTTTATTTTACTTGATAGGGAAAGGCGTATCGGCAACGCCGCAACAGCACACCGTCGCGCGTCGCGTCGGTCGGTCGCATTTCTCTATGCGATTTACTTCCACACATGTAAATGCCGACCCAAAAGTAACAGTTGCCAGCACGGTATGTTATAACACGCGTGTGCCATACAAAATTTTATCCAACAGCAGAACTGTTTCATGTCCAATCTCTAAAGAATAATTTATTTTAAAGGATCTACCAGTTCTACTTTCATTTTTGCGAATTAATAAGTTATCAGGGTGCGTTTATGTTACTATGCAATATAGATGTGCGTTTTTTTTTGTAAATAATAAATAGCACTGACATTAAGACGTCATTTAGGTAAATCGCAATTTTTTAACGTTAAAATAGTAAATTATCAACCAGCAAGTCAGATTTTAAAGAAAAATGATTCAGGAAGATCTTCCGCAAGAAATTAACCAGGCAGTCGTGGCGTAGATAGGGAATTCATAACACACTAGTTTGTTATAACTTCAAAAACTCACGTGTGATATTATTTATTTTATATGCATGTAGGCTCACCTACCAGAATATCCAATACCAGTTCTAGTACTATAGACTATGTTGTGTCATCTTTTGATCCTAACTCCATCGCCTGCAACGTCTTTAGCTCGGGTCTCTCTGATCATGAAGCAGTTTTAACTGAATTTTCGATGAAGTCCAAAATCAAAAATGCCCCTCGTAAATTATGCCGTATTTTTTCAGAAAAGAATGCTCAAAAGTTCAGCCACTTATGTAAAACAACCAACTGGGATACTAGCTCTTATGATGTCGACACCGAATTTTCTATTTTCGTAAAAACATTAACCAGTCTAGCGTTCAAATCCTTTCCTCTTAGGCCTATAAAAAATAAGCATAATAAACCTTGGACCACTAAAGGTCTACGCATATCTTCTAAAACATGCGTTCATTATCTTACTTAAAAAATTCTCAGACAGTCTCTTCTTCCACAATTACGTAAAACTATACAGAAACATTTATCATAAGATTATAAGAGCCGCTAAGGACCTTTATTATAATAGGAGAATAGTCAATTCTGGTAATGTTGCTAAAGAAACATGGTCTATTGAATGAGTTGAGAAACAAAGCTTCTTCGTCTAGCAATATCTCTACCTCACCTGAGAACCTTAACGATTACTTTGTAAATGTAGCGAAAAACTTAACTAATACCATATGTCCTCCTCATGATCCACTTTCTTATCTCTCTAATGATATTGTAAACTTACACAGTTTCTTTTTTTCGCCCGTAGTTTTAGAAGAGCTTCGCAGTACAATTAATACCATCAAAAATAAATCCTCTTGTGGGACCGACGGGCTAACTTTAAAAATGTTTTCGAATCTGCCAGAAAGCACTCTGAATCACCTAACAACTTTAATAAACATGTCGTTCCAAAATGGTATTTTTCCAAAATGTCTTAAGACGGCAATAATCATTCCTCTGCATAAAGGAGGAGACAAAGATGAAGCTTCTAACTATCGCCCAATTGCACTCCTTCCAACGCTATCTAAGATAATAGAAAGGTTGGTTAAAAGAAGGCTGGTATCTTTTCTGTTTAAGTACAAAATACTTACTGAATATCAATTTGGATTTCTAAGCAACAAGTCCACAAATGACGCTATGTTTCCTCCCCTCCTTAATAAACAACCTGATTTGTTCAGCCTAAACAACCGTCATTCTACAACAACAATTTTCTGTGATTTTTCTAAGGCGTTCGATTGTGTAAATCATAAGATCTTAATTAATAAACTGCAGCACTATGGGTTCAGGGGATCATCTCTCGAATGGTTTAAGTCGTATCTGAGCAACAGAAGTCAACTTGTGAGGGTGGATACCACGTTGTCTTCTAGCAAGCCAATAGAATGTGGGGTACCAAAAGGCTCAGTACTAGGCCCTATTTTGTTTCTTCTTTTTATTAACGACATTGCTAACATAAACATCAGTGGCAAAGTATAAAGTCTTTTTGCGGACGACACTAGCTTCACTTGGAGCAGCAAGGACATCACGGCACTTCATAGGATTATATCAAATGACTTAATCACCATTAAATCTTGGTGCGATTCGAACCTCCTGAGTCTCAACATTTCTAAAACTAAAGCTTTGTCGTATAAAAACTCGTTGCAGCATTTTGTACTTAACAACACCACCATTGACGTCGTCAAATCTGTAAAGTTCTTGGGGCTTGTTGTACACAATTCTCTGAAATGGGACATACATATCGAAGCTTTGTCGAAAAAATTGAGCTCTGCCTGTTTTGCATTAAGGTCTGTTTCTAAGGAGCTTAACTTGTCAGTGGCTAGAACTGTTTATTATGCACTTTTTGAGTCGCACCTCAGGTATGCCCTTCCATTCTGGGGTACGTGTTGTGCGACTCAATTTGACCGCATTTTCAGGCTCCAGAAGAGAGCTGTTCGATATTCACTGGGACTAAATAGCTTTGAACGGGACTTGAATCATTGCCGGGACTTTTTTAAAAAATTAAAAATATTGACTCTTCCTTCCTTATTTATATTTGAATCCGTTTGCCTAATACGTAAACATGTATCAGCTTCTCAAGAAAGGCCATCTCACACTTATCCACTCAGGAACGCGGAGCAAGATCTTTATCTACCTACCCCACGCTCAGAGTTAGTTAAAAGTTCAATATTATACAACTCGAAAAAAATGCACAATCACCTGCCATTTGAAATCAAATCCATAACATCATTTTTTTTTCATTTCGCAAAGCATTGAACTCTTATTTACTAGACAAGGCTTTCTACGCCGTAAATGAATTATATTTTGAAAATCAAATTTGATCTTGTAAACACTGGTCTAATGTTTGCTATTGCTATATTTACTAATGACATCGAAATGAATTTATTTAGAGGACATTGATATTTTACTATAAACTAGCTAAATATTTTTGAATATTATTTTTATTTTTTTGTTCTTTGACATTATAAACATTTATAAATGTTTATTTTAACAATAAGACTGACAATATTATTTGTATAATGTTTTGTATTATCTTTTGTTTGTTTGTTTGTGTACCTTGTTTTTTTACTTTGTTTGTTAGTTTACCTTTGTCTACAAATTGAAAAATTTTTTGACAATAAAGGCATTTATTTACTTATCGGCCAGTTCGTTTGCTCGATGCAACAGCGTGCTATCTTTTTTTAATCCGGATATAAGATTATAAGAAAAAAGGGAAAGTGCAAGTTTCCAACGAATTTTTATTTGTTAGAAATGTATTTGGTTACTGATTTCTCTATATACAATTGTTGTTACAGCGTTCATCGGTCGAATACCGTCAGAATCCGACTTCCACGGATCTGAGAATATTATGAAATGCGAGAGCATAAATATACCCGGCGACAATGGCAACAGCGGATACATGCGGATCCCGCCCAGGTGCCACAAGAGACCCAGCGTCGCATCGAAATATACCTTGGTAAGTATTGTTCACAGTAGAGGCTGGCAAAGATTGGACGAATCGTACATATGAACGAGTATAGACGATCGAACGAGTGAAAACGATCGAATCGCGAGATTCGATTTACCATTACAGCGCTTTCAGATGGAGCGGAGCGTCCGCGATAGACCGTCCGTCGCACTATGGTTTCTAGAAGCTAATTTTTTGGCCAAAATACATATTTTAGACTCACTGTATATGGACTTTTTTATAAGTATAATGCAAGCAGATATACAAATGAAGAAGACCACATGCATATATTTTTGTTTAGTTTTCATTTTTATTCCTTATCAGCATTTATATTTAGACGTTCTAGTGAAGTATTTGTGCCTATTCAGTTGTTGTTTATTTTTGGAAGAGATATTTTTAAGAAATCACTAACAATTGCACATAAGAATCAGCGTCCATTATTTTTTAATTAATTAAAAATAATGAGTTTAAGACAGAACATACATAAAAAGTTAAAAGTTTAGTTTGACTTATAAAAAATTCTCCATGTTTCTCCATGCTATATGTTATTGTAAAATTTGAAACAATCCTTTCTGAACATATTATAGAAAAAATTGGCTGCTACCAGCTGCAACTTTTTTTTTAAAGAATTTTTTTTCAGCTATGTATCGATTGAAAAAAATAGCTCTTTTGGAAAAATGGCTACAAGGGGCCGTTAAAGTTGAGAAAACCGGGTATGTTTCAAATTTTGTAAGACAGAAATTTCAGAATAATGAACAAGAACTATGAGGCACAATGGAAAAAAGATAAATCGCCATTGTATAAATTTTGAAAGAAGATGGCAGGCGGCTTCGTAGCTTAAAGATTTATTTTTAAAACAAAATGATGACTGGTTAAAGGAGGATTTTATCCTTGAGTTAAAGGAACCCCTTCCATCCACATCATCTGCCGGCCGCCCACGGTTACCTTTTTCGGAGCAATCTTCCAGAACCCAGAGAAGAACGGCCTCAAAAGTTTCCGAGGATCATAAGCAGGATTGGGCTTTACTTGTGCAGGCTGTAAAATACTTTACTTGTGCAGGCTGCTATGTAAATTTAGTTATCCTGCCGATGTACTTAACCTACTTTGTGTACCTGACTTTATCGAAAAGAAGTTAAATGAAGAACAATTTGAAGAGAAGCATGGAAAAGAAGAGGAATACCAGGAGGAAGAGCAAGAAGAAGAAATGCAAAAAGAAGAAGAGCAAGGAGATATTTCTAAAGAAGATTGTTTTTTTGGATAGCAGTAATTCGATAATTGATCAAGTTTCTTTTTTGGAACTAGATACAGAAGATGCTTCATAGGTAAAAGTTAATCACACGTTGAATAAGATGATTAAAAATAACTTCATTTTATTAGTCTTTTATTATTTTATTAAAAACACAAATTTACAGTCAATATTTTCCATTAAATGTAAGTTGTTTAATTTTGGCCAAAAAAGTAGCTGCTAGAAACCATAGTCCGTCATGTCTTTTCAAGACCGTCGGACGAACTCCGTCGGTTTTTGTCTCAAAATCGTATTTACTTTTTGTCCCTTGGTATGGACCCGGCATTACATCCGACTTTGTTTACGGGACCTTCACATGCATTTTTCTATTTCTTTCTTTCTAGAACAAGATTATCGTATAAACCTATCCTTCTCTCTGAATACGCTACTGAACATGCGCAGAACGATATTAGACGTGAATACTAACTTGGAGCGTTTTTTCGCTGCGTTGACAACAATGACAACAATTATAATATGTAGTTAAAAAATAATACTTTTGGCTGACGTTTGTAAAAATATATGTTTTTTTTCAGTTTTATAATGTAGTAAGTGGATGCGCAACAGTCTGGTTGGATAACGTAGTCAATACAGTGAACCAAGGGGAACATTTTTGCGTGCCTAAAGGTAATTGTAGTTTTTATGTGATTTAGGAATTTTATCTAATTAAATTTTTATTTTTAAGGATTACAGTATACGGTTCGCAATATGGATACAGAAGAGCCGTTAATATTATTTTACGTGAGAGCGAAATATGTGTAACTTTTTGTTCTTTACAAATAAGAAAGTGATATATTTTGTATTTATTTTATATATTGTTTATGTTCATGTATTTTAAAGATTTGTATATTGTGTTCTATTTGAGCGATTTTCATGATTTTGGCTTTTTAGTACTTTTTCTAAATTAAAAATGAAAGTTTCCATATGTTAATTATACGAGGGAAAACATAATGTTGATATTTTGGTGAAAGTTTGAAGTACCCTGTGGAATATGTTAACAAAGCAAGGGATTTAAAAATAATTTTATATCTAGGTTTTCTCGCTAGTTAGTTTTTTCTGTTCATATATATATATATATATATATATATATATATATATATATACATATATATATATATATATATATATATATATATATATATATATATATATATATATATATATATATATATATATATATATATATATATATATATATATATATATATATATATATATATATATATATATATATATATATATATATATAAGTCGGTTCAGAACGTTCTACGACGTTTTCCGATACATAACCTCCACTCTTCTCTATTTAGCCAAAGATCATCAGTCATTTCTCTATTTTCTAGTTCTTTATCCACACCCTCCCTCCAGCTTCGTCGCGGCCTTCCTCTTTTATTTCTGCCTCGAGGTGTCCACGGTAAAATTTGTTTTGGTATTCTGTGACCAGGCATTCGCTGAACGTGACCAAACCATATGAGTTGTTTTGTTCTTATATCGTCCACAATTGTGTGTTCAGCTCCCATAATCTCTCTTACTCTGTCGTTGGTTATTTGTTCTCTTTTCGATTTTCCAGCAGATCTCCTCCAGTAATCCATTTCGGTCGCTAATAGCATGTTCTCTGTTCTGCTTTTCAACTGCCATACTTCGCTTCCGTAAGTTATTATGCTTTTCACTACCGTATTATATATGTTCTTCTTATTAGCTTTAGAGATTCCTTGATCCCACAGTACACTATTCAACATAGATATTGCCCTTCTGCCTTGCATTATTCGATCTTTTTTTTTTTCCTCGATCTTTCGATTTTCCTCGTCGAGTTTTCCATCGTTAGTTATTTTTAATCCGAGATATTTATATTTGTCACAGGTTTTTATCACGCTTCCAGCCTCTAAGACTATGTTCTCTTGTGGCCCCCCTACAGTCATACATTCAGTTTTGGTGATATTTACCTCCAACCCCCATTTCTTATACTCCTCTATCAGCTTCCTTGCCATATATTCAAGGTCGTCGTGATATTGGGCTAGGACTATCTGGTCGTCCGCAAAAAATAGCGTGTATAGGGTGTCCTCATTTATTAGGGGGATTCCCATTCCTCTACACTTAAGCATCCATTTTTTTAGTGCTTGTTGCAGGTATATTTTGAATAGTATAGGAGATAGGCAACATCCCTGCTTGAGGCCTTTTGTAAATTTTATGCTTTCTGATAATGAGTCTCGTATTTTTATTCTAGCTGTGGTGTTCTGGTATAAGTTCTTAACTGCTTTACGTAGGTTGACATTTATATTAGTTATTTCCAACGTTTCCCACAATTTATTTAATGGTATGCTGTCATAAGCCTTTTGGAGGTCTATATATAGTAAGTGTACCTCTTGATCTTTTCGTTTCTCGTTTTTTTCTCTAAGACCTGTGTTATGGCAAACAGATGATCCACAGTAGACCTTCCCGCTCTAAAACCCGCCTGTTCTTCTTATTTTGGTGAAAGTTTGAAACACCTTGTGGAATATGTTAACAAAGCAAGTGATTCAAACATCGTTTTATCATCCAGATGTATCTTTTCTCGCTAGTTGTTTTTTTCGGTTCATCACAATAGCTTTTTTTTGGAGATATTCGCTTTTGAAAGATACTAACATGTTTTCGTATTTTTTACATTAAAACCATGCCTTTGTTCTTAGTTCTAGTCAGAACACCTATAAAATAGTGTTTATGATTTATGTAACGTCACTGTCTTTGAAAAATTAGATTGTTTTTGCCTGTTTGGCAGTTACGCTAACAGATATGGTTTTAAGTCCAAAAGTTAATCTTTACCATTATCAATTAAAGCAACAAAATAGCCGATACTTCAGAATTAAAACCGTCTCTACTAAAGTAAACGTCAATAAACAATAATAATGTGATTTTTCAATGACAGTGACATTACAAAAGCAATAGACACTATTTTATAAGTGAGTTGATGAGAACCCAAAATCATTGCTTAAATTGCTGTAAATCGTTACTGTCTTATTCAAAAACGAATATCTCCAATAAAAATTAAGCTACTGAGATGAACCAAAAAATAAACTATCAAGAAAAGATACACCTAGATGATACAATAATTTTTAAATTCCTTGCTGTGTTAATATACTCCACAGGGCGTTTTAAACTTACGCCAAAATATCAACATTTTGTTTCATTTTTGGACGCCGTCTGTCAAAATCTTTGCTGGTTCGCTGGGCAAGCTACCCTACCAGTTTCTAACATAGTCACGTTAACACCCTTTTTAATATATTATGTAAATAAAATAATATATCCTTGTACTAGATATACCGATAGTTTGACTTACGTACTAATGTTTTTCCTAGATGTTATACAGACCTGGTCATCTTAAATTGGTGGACGCTATTTCAATGATATATACAGGGTGAGCCTTAAATAAGTGCAAATATTTTCAGGGCTGGTAGATCTCGATAAAAGAAACATATTTTCTCTTTACCGTTTTTCAAATAAGTCCAAATTAATCGAGTTATTCAAGTTTGAAAATAAAAAAAAATTATTTTGAGAGCTCATTTTTCAGGATAGTTAGTTACCGCCAGCGGCTAGACGCTTGACATTTCTTTGTGTCTCTGTCTATCCACTGGTTATAATGCAAGTTCCCAAGTAGCATCTATCTGACTTCGAACTAAATCTGACCTGAAGCGACGTCAGACTTTGTGCAAATTTAGGTCGGGTGCTGGTGATACGACTTGTGACGTCGCTTTCCTATTAAAAGCGACGTCGTTGGATCCGAGTCGGTAAATCCAACGATCTGTCGACGTACAAAATAACAACGTACCATTTTTATTAATTTCCCAATGTCGGTTCCCACGTTGGCTTGCACGACGTACAGATACTTGAACTAGCCCGACGTCTACCCGTTGTCCGAATAGGATACGTCTCACTGATAACCCCTAAAGTAACGTCCAATTATATTTTGTTGTATTTTATGTTCATATTTATAACCTAATTTACGTATCTCTATTTACGTCCGTAAATACAACCCATTAAGTAGCATTTGCGACCTAATGAACATCATGAACATAACCTAATAAAAAGTTTTTGTAAACAAACTTAATTTTTTTATTATGCCTAAAAAACATTAAAAAGGCATTTAGACATTCATCTACATTTTACAGAAAGAGGTCGAGGCTTTTGCAAAATAATAATAGTAGTAGTGATGTCTTGCCTCCACCCGTAAATGCTTTTTATCCGGAAGAGATGCTGCATTACACTGGCGCATCTTAATTTCATTTTTTAGCTTAGGAAACCAGCAGACCCCATCCTCCTCTGACATGTGAGGTTAGGCTTAAAAAAGTGGCTGCCCATTTTTTTTAAGGAGAAAACAAAAACTAAAATATAGTTGCACAAATCCACAAATCACTGATAAACAAAGTGAGGTTACGTGGCGTACGTTGGAATTATATACGTCATAATACGATTGCCGGTCTTCCGGTTTGATGACTTCGGTCGTGTGAGACGACTAATGTTGGAGACCCGGTCGGAATTGGTATATTGGTAGTTCATATTAAGTCGGACTCAGAAATCCGCCATTCTTAACACGTATCCGATTGTCAGCCATTTTAAAATCGTTTTTTGTTTTTAAAATTTATATTAACATTTCGATTTCTAGTAGAATAATATCGATAAGGTTGAGTTTGGGGGGAACCACAGTACAGTTTTATGATTAAACCAGCTAGAAAATAAAAAAAAAATTGTGAGTTACTTTTTTATAGATATTTTTATTTCATAAATCTACCTAATTTTGAAAGCGCTCGTTGTTTTCCGGAGTATTTTAATCAAATATATCAAGAAAGTGACTTCCGTTGACAAAACTGATGTCTGGATTAATGATTCAGAATTATTATAATATGAAATTAGATAGGCACTTATATAGTTATATTCGAGGAGTGATTATGAATCCATTTGTAACTAGGTAGTTTGGTTAGGTTTTTATGTATTCTTGGTAGCGAATATGAAACCAAACGTAACGTAAGTGCTTAGCGACGAATTTTAAGTAACTAAAATTCAACGTAATATGACGTTGGTAATTGGTAGAATTACATTCCCTATTAGGTAAGATACCGACGTCGAGGCGACCCGAATCTGTATTCCCAATTTAGGTGTAAATAAGGGTCGTCAGGCGGTCGAACCGACGTTGGTACCCGACGTCGGGTTTATTGAATGCGACGTATACCCGACGTTAGATAACGTCCAAATGCTACTTGGGTTAGGTATCTTTATCTCTGTCTTAATCGTTAAAATATAGACCAACAAAATTTAGAATGACCAAGCCAGTATGTTTTTATATTCTTTGATGTTTTTGCATGTATTAGTTACAAGTTACTTATTATAATATTAAAAATACTTTGGTTGTGTTTTATTTTTTATTAGAACTGAAAGATCCCAATGATTGATTGTACAGGGTGGCTCCTTTCATATTACGCGGAGGCTCCAAGGAGAACGATAGTTTGTATTGAAATTAAATTTTGTGTGCTTTTTTTTAAATATAGAGAGTTCTATAGGGTGTCCCAAAAAAGTTACACATCAAAGTTGTGTTTTTGTAATGGAATACCCTATATTTATATTCTTCGATTTTCGAATTCTAGAAAAAAAATAAAGGTGAGTTTCATTGGAGAAGTATATGATTAAAATATAAGGTTTTTGGCATATTCATCATTTTCTAAAAATGAAGAACAATTTTTCAATAAAAGCTATCTAAATTGAAATTTATCCGGTATAGCCTAATATGTAGTTAAAATAACTAATTAAAACTTGACCAAAAAAGTTATACAGGGTGAGACAAAATTAACAATGAATATTGGTCACCTTTAAAAACAAGTTAATACTGGGTGTTCCATTTAAAATAAAGAGTAACTTGCTTTTAAAAGTGACCAATATTCAATATTAATTTTGTCTCACCCTGTATAATTTTTCGGGTCAAATTTTAATTTGATTTAACCTTCAATGGTTATTGTAATTAAATATCAGGCTATACAGGGTAAATTGGAATTTAGGTAGCTGTTAATAATAGCGGTTTAATAAAATAAAAAAGGTTTTCCTCTTGTAAAGACAATCCAGGGACATACTGTATATGAACATCCTTAAGATTTTTCTGAGATGCACCAAGAAGAAAAATCGTGGAAAAATGAAATTCCTCTATAAATCAGGAATAACAAAATATAGGCCATCATATCGACTGATTTTTTAAACAAATATCGATATTTTTGAACATTCTTACTTTATAAAATTTTCCAAATAAGTTACAGGTGTGTAACAGGAATAAAAAATAGACAATAGTATCGATATTTTTCTTAAAAACATCGATATTTTTATAAAAAAATAGGCGATCATATCGATAGATTTTTTAAAAATAAATATCGATATTTTTGAACATCCTTAGATATTCTTGGGATACATCAGGATTGTTTATAAAGCAATATCGATATTTTTCAACACCTTTACTTTGGACACTTTTGTTACATACTTAAGAGGAATGAAAAATGGCAATAGTATCGATAATTTTCTTAAAACCGATACATTATGAAAAAATGGGTATTTTGTTTTAAAAAAATCGACATTTTTCTCCATTCCTACTTCGTCTAATTTTTCCGTCTTTCTGCTGGAATCCTGCGTTTCCCGACGACCGATTCGACCTGCACCTGGGAAAAACTTGTTCTCGTCACTAGACCCCATTTTCCACTGTTAGATAATAATATCGATATTTCTTAGAAAAAGATCGATACATTTGAACATTCCTGAGATTTTCCCGGGATCCATCAAGAATAAAAAATGGTTGAAAAACGGAGTTTTCTAGGACACATCGGGATCAGGAATAATAAAATATAGGCAATCATATCGATAGATTTTTTAAACATAAATATTGATAATTTAAAAATTAACCCTTAAGTTTCTTAAAATAAAAAAAATATTCCTTATTTTGTACAATCTTCCATGTGTGTAACAGGAACAAAAAATACGCAATCAGTATCGATATTTCAAACATTTCTAAGATATTTTTGGGATACATCAGGAATAACAAAACATGTATAGGCGATCGTATCGATAGATTTTTAAAAAACAAATATCGATATTTTTGAACATTCTTACTTTGTACAATTTTTGTTATATACCGAACAGGAATAAAAAAGGCAATAGTTTCGATATTTTTGAACATTTTTCCGAGTTATACTACGAATAAAAAAATGGTGAGAAAAAATGGTTATTTTGCTTTAAAAAATCGACATTTTTGGCCATTCCTACTTCGTCTAAATTTCCCGGGTTTTTCCCGCCTTTCTGCCGGAGTCCCTCTGAGTTTCCCGTCAAAAACTAGTTTCCCGTTCTCGTCACTAGACCCCGTCTTGCACTGTTGGGTAATAATATCGATATTTCTCAGAAAAAGATCGATACATCCCTAATATGTTCCCGGATCTATCGAGTAAAACGGACTTTTTAGGATATATTAGGAATAACAAAATATAGGTAATCATATCGATATTTTAAAAATTAAATATATACATCATAAATAAAAAAAAAAATATAGGCGATTAAACCGTTACGTTTCTTAAAATAAAAAAAAATAGTATTTATTCATACAATCTTCCAGGGGTGTAACAGGCATAAAAAAATAGACGTTGCTTTACATTATCGAAAAATAATATCGATATTTCTCATAAAAAATCGATATATTTGAACATCCCTAAGATTTTCCCGGGATCCACCAATAATAAAAAATTAGTCGAAAAACGGACTTTTCTAGGATACATTAGGAATAACAAAATATAGGCCATCATATCGATATTTTTTTAAAAATAAATATCGATAGTTTTGAACATTCTTACTTTGTACAATTTAACAGGAATAAAAATGGCAATAGTATCGACATTTTTCTGAAAACGATCGATATTTTTGAACATTTTTCCGGGATACACTACGAATAAAAAAATAGTGAAAAAAATCGACATTTTCGGTCATTCCTACTTCGTCTAATTTCCTCGGCTTTTCCCGCCTTTCTGCCTGAGTCCCTCTGCGTTTCCCAACGCTCGAACTCGACCTGCGCCTTGGGAAAACTCGTCCTCGTCACTAGACGCCGCTTTCCACCGTTGGAAATTCCAGTTTCCCGACATCGTTAGCATGAAAACCACATCATTTTCCGTTCGCGCGTTCGAAATAACCTACAGACTGATAAACACCAAGGCGGTTGTGTTCGAGGATCGACAATTTTCATGAGTGAAATCGTAGTTCTAGCTCAGAGGAAACGCACAATAATGCTTTAGGTAGGATAGGAAAAACAGCCCTGGCTAAAATATCGGTAAGTTGCTGTAATGGTAATTGTGATGTGAGATTGAACAAAAATGTTTATTCTCTTGTTTTGATAGGTACACAGTTTGTTTAAAAACGTGTTTAAAACACTTGTTTTAAACTTGTTTTGAAACCATGTTTTAAACATGTTTGGTGTGTTCTTTTAATAACAAAAACTCTTTATTTTTCTGATACAAAAGGAATATAAAACAAAGTAATCGCCTCTACTTAGTGTCTAGAAAAAACAGTCGTCCAACTCGTTATAATAGAAAAATACAGGGTGGTCCGAATTGTATTCCGGAAACTTCGGCAGCATATTCTACAGATAAAAATAAGTAAAAAAGTTCGTATAAATGTATGTCCTAAAATGCTTAGTTTCGGACACACAGGGTGTAGAAATTTCATTTTTATTTCGATGTTTTCTAAATAATTTATGAAGTAACGTCGGGGTCTGGGAGTTTTTGACATGATAAATTAGATTTTGATGGCAATATCACTACTATTTGTAGGGTGCGCCACCTAGATGTGTTTTAATTGTTTTGAAGAGTAATAACTCTTCATCCGTACCTGTATAAAACTACTGAGTGAAAAAATATACATTTCCGTGATTTTTTTACGTAAAAAATGTCTGTTGGTAAAAAATGCTACGAGCAACTGTTCTCAAAATATTTAGAATGGAACTAGTATACATGTCATTATTGACAAAAATAAACACGTTGATGAGTAGATAGTTATTTGACTGAAACAATAAATTTGTGAAATTTTTATTTTTTTAAATTAATCATAAATTTTTCTGCGAAAAAATGATATGATAAAACAGTTTATGTTGAACTTTTGGCACAAAAACATTTCAAATTTATGATTTCAGTCTAATAACTATTTAGTCAACATGTTTAATTTATGTCAATGACAGGTATTGACAATTACGACTCCAAATATCTCGAGAACCATTACTCGTATCGATTTTTACCAAGAGAACTTTTTTACGTAAAAAAAGTCGTAAATGTATATTTTTTTACTCAGTAGTTTTATACAGGTACGGACGAAAAGTTATTACTCTTCAAAACAGTTAAAATATATGTAGGTGGCGCCCCCTACAAATAGGAGTCATGTTGACACGAAAATCAAATTCCTCATGTCAAAAAACTCCTATGCACCAATTTTCAACGAAATATGAACGTTTCTTCATAAATTATTTGGAAAAAATCGAAGATTACAGTTGAGGGTTGGAACCTTTGGTGTTACACAGCAAAATAAAACACTATATCACCACAATACACCAAAACACTTTTACTTATAATCATCTGCTGATGATGCTAACATGGTTAGCGAAACGCGCGTCCAGTGTAAAAGTAAAAGTGTTTTGGTGTATTGTGGTGATTTAGTGTTTTATTTTGAAAAAATCGAAATAAAAATGAAACTTCTACACCCTGTATATCCGAAATTAAGCATTTTAAGACATACATTTATACGATCAAAATTCTAAGCAGTAGTTTAGTTACTCCACTTTAAAGTTATCTAAATATATAAAGTAAAAAAAGGAATTTATAAGTATAAATAAAGTATATTTTTTCAATAGATGGAGAATTAAAAAATGAACATTTTTTTGTATTTAAAGTATTTCAAAATTTTTAACGGTCTCGCAGATATTTGCGGTTTTATATTTCATATGGCATTTTCCACAGTAAATTTTTATCAAAGCCACCCACAGATTCTCGTATTTTACCTTTGAAAGAGCCATATGAAATAATACTGTGTGTATCTGTAAAACCATTAAAAGTTTTGAAATACTTTAAATACAAAAAATGTTAATTTTTTAACTGTCCATCTAATAAAAAAATATACAGGATGTTCCATGAAAGAAAAAACGAAGAAAAAAAAATTATTTGATATTTTAGAGAGTTCGGCGTAGAATTTTGAACACCCTGTATGATTTAAGATTGCGATATGTATAGCAAAGTTATGTATAGACCATCTAAAGTAAATACCTAATAGCCTACCAGTTTCTATGATAGGTTAAAAATAGGTTGAAAAATATATATTTTTTATTTATTTATTATTATCTCTGAAACTATTGAAATATATTTACTAATATCTTAGGATTATGTAAAGTGATCTGAAAGGAAGCCAAAAACGCAATATTATACAGGGTGTTCCATTTAAAAAAATCATCCCGAATCACTTACTTTTTTGAGCCACTTTGTATAAGTTAAAATATTTTCCTGAAACACATCCTATATAGTACATATTTTAGGTTTGCACTTGAACCAAATTTTCAAGTTTTTTATTCTAGGAGCTACATACATATGTCCGACGCACTTTTGCCGGACCCTGTATATTATGCGAATAATAAAGAACAGATTAGCAGAGAGCCTTTATTAAATCGTTTATTTTTAAAGTGTAAATATTGAACAGTTTCGTGTACACATAGAAACTAATTTTAGAATTTGGATAAATTTAACTCTCGCGGATGATTATACCACATAAACAATAAACTTAGCATTCTACTATGAATAATATAAGGAGATTTGATTGGTATGAAACGTTAAAATGATAAGATAATATAATTTTGTTTGGTTTGGCAAAAAAGCCCTTAAAGTTCCTAGATATCAGTAGCGGCTCGCCAAGTGAATCAGGGGAAACAAAATTTCATCTTAAATATTGGACAATTTGGACATTTTTGTGGACATTCCGGGTTTCCGATCATTTTATGTTGTGGTGCTTGAACTACACATGGTGTCTGCAATACTTAGCTTCATTGTTTCGCCTCTTTAGGTATGTTTATTATGTTGGTCAAGTCGTACATAGTAGATGCACTTTTTGTCTTGTTTTGAAGATTCCGGTTTTATTTTTATTATGACACTTCTGATGTTAGTTCCAGACTTAGAAACAGTTTTAATTTTATCCTGCTTGGCTATTCGCCTGATCTTTTTCGATGTTCCTTTCACATATAGAATGGTCAAGAGGAAGAGAGCATTCTCCTCAGGCTGGCACCCCAAGCAGCATTTGGACGTCGGGACAACGTTGTGTCACGCGACCAAACGTCGGGGCGCAACGTCGGCACAACCTCGTGCCAACCCTAGTCTGCACTAGTTTGGAGAATAATTTTTGGGTTGAAACGACGTTGGATACCGACGTTGGCTAGAAGCCTAATTTAGTACAAACTGCAACGTTGTTTTAAAATCTAATTCACAGAAATACAAAACTAATATGGCGTCTAAGTCGCGTTTATCCTAAATTGGGATAATTATAGTAAAAATATTATTTTTATGATTTAGTTAGAGACATATGTCAGATGGCAGTGAAGGAAAACAAAACAAAAGTATTTAAGTGTGGAGGATGTTTGAAGATCAGAATTATTGATATACTTTAACCGACTCTGTAACTCGTTACCCAAGGCAAAAAAGTTAAACGCAAACAACTTTATTGATAAATGTATTGTTTCTACTTTGAAAAATACTAATGGGCCTTAAAATTAAAGAAGTTTTAAAAATTTTCTTGAATTTTTTTTTTAGTAAAATGAGAATAATTTATTTGCAGTCGAAAAAATTGTTTCCGCGTGTTTTTTAGGATCAAATATTTCAAGTTAATGTATTCAAAAAGCAGGAATTGCTATTTTAGGAACGAAACATTTTCTTATTTAACAACATGGCGGCTTTCACTTTGTTGTTTTGGAGATTAAGATGGAGTAGTTCGAGTAGTCGCATACTGGACTAATAAAGTCGCAGTTCGGCCTTAACAGGTAGTATACTCGTCGCAAGATTGCCTAATTTAGTCATCCTAGAGTCTAGCTTGTGCCGCACTCTATAATCTAAATAAACGAGGGAGTGGATAAATTTAAGATTTAAGATTTAAGGTTATATACAATACAGTTGCAAAAAGGTAGTGACTCGACGTCCTACCAACGTAAGAATAAGGAAATCTAAACAGCGTTGGAATTAGTAAAACAAACGACGTTTGCATAACGTTGGAATAGGTCCTGAAACTGACGTCGGAAAACTATATATTGTCCAACGTTGTAACTACGTTGTCCGGAATCACCTAAAGATCACTTAAGCAAAAAAAGGTTAGAAGACAACGTTTATTCGACGTCGCAGAATCTTCTACTTTGCTGTAGTACTAGTCCAACGTCGGCACAACGTTATAAAAACGTTTAAATTTATTTTAATACCCAAGGTAGGGAGCTAACTATTTTTTGTAACTAATCCAACGTTGTGTTTAGTAAACATGTGGTCGCAAGTCGTGAAAATGCTACTTGGGACACCAATGAGTCAGACTTGCAATTGGATATAATATTGTCTAGTGATTTTGCAGAGTAACCATTCTGAAGCAAATCGGTTTTAATATTACTTAGTTCAGTATTAAGAGATTCTTGGTCACTGCATATCTGCAGTGATTTCTCGATGGCATAATGCTTTAATATTGCCTGCTTCATAATGGTTCGACTGAGAATATGACTATATTTATATTTACATTCTTACGTGTCCCTGTGCCCTTTAGGACCAGCTGCCACTGCTAAAAACATGGAAAAGGAGCATTCCCCTGTATAAATGTAATTAATTTTATATTACACATTTATTACAGCTATATTAATTAACGAATAGGTATACGAAGCATAAATGTTTAAACGCAATATATTGATGGTAGTGCTGCATGCAATTTTAATTTAAATAGGTACATTTATATTATTTCTATAACAATAAATTTGCGATTTTAATTTTACAATAAATATTGAGCAATTAATTATTTTTATTGTCAATGACCAAGCCATTATATTGGTCTGAAAAGATAATAGGAACAGAGATAATTCCTTCCTAAGTTCATATTACCATAGTTTAAGGAAAAGAGTAGTTGCACTCTCGCAAATATTTTCTGCCAGTTTTTGCAAGCTGGCAGGTTGCAAAGCGTTTCAGTTGAATTCGGTCCGTCGCACAGTGCTTCGAACATATGGCTCTAGAGGACAAAAATGCAAAACTTCTCTTTTATTGTAGGCAATTTATTCAATACATA